CCCCCCCTCTCTCTCTCTCTCTCCGGCGGCAAATGTGTGTAAACCGCGCCCCGCACCACCTCGCACTGGCGGGCTTTGGCCCGATGGATGGGATTAGCAGCTCGTGCCTATCCATTTTCCTGGCGCAAATATCTCTCTCTCTCTCTCTCTCTCTCTCTCTCTCTCTCTCTCTCTCTCAACGTCCCGTGCGGCTTTGGCCCAAGGACGCCGCACAGGCCCGCGCTGCGCATGACCCACTTTGTCGCGTATATACACTCGCGTGGCCACCTACAAAACAGGGAGCGCAAGCAGTCCTTCCCTCGACCACCACACTTTGCCATTAGGCATTAGACAAGTTTACACGTATCGAGTGGACAGCAGCAGCAGCTCTCCCCTCGGCGCGTATTTCACCAGCGCGAGGCTGTATGTCCCCCCCGCCGGGTCCCGCACCACCGGGGTCCTGTGGCAGCCGTCCAAAGTGGTCAACCGCCGTGACGAACGCGCCGCTGTCGGTAATTAGAAGCGGCGTACTTCATTCATTACCACCGGCGGCGGAGGAAAAATTACTCTACTTGATAAGGGGTCATACAAAGTGAGCAAATAGTGGGGTACAACTTGCTTGCTTGCGCCTATTTCGTAAAGTAACATACTCGACGACCTCTCCTCGTTTGCTGCTGGAGTCCGATCTCGTCTGCTTATGCCCGTTATACAGACACACGACCCGAAAAGTTGTTTATTTTTTTGCCCAGGTCCACGTGAGCTCTCCTTTCCGAAACAGCTTTCCAGAAAGGAAAAATCGCTCGCTCTTCGACCTGCAGAGCCCAAGTCATAATGACGGGCGAACGATTTTCGCCTGATGCTCAGCTCTCGTTCGCTTCTGAAGGTCCGGTGAAGCTGCCCCCCCCCCCCCTCTTTCCTTTCTCGCCCCAGGGCAGGGGGGCGCGCAAAACAACAGCAGCAGGCTCTGTCCAGGCTTCCAGGCCGGACCCGCCGTGATCGGCGAGCAGATTAGCCGCCTGGCCTGCAGCAGGAGCAGCATGCAGTAGCTGCCCGGCGGGCGGCGGGCCATTGCTAAATCAACACACGCAGGCGCGGTGGGCGCGGATTGATATTTTTACAGATGAAAACGAAAAACAAAAGGAGTTGCGCGGTACAAGTGTCTCCGATGTCTAGGGTAGACATTCAGGGCTTCGTAATTGTATTACTTATTTGCGTTTTGCGTTCGCGATATTTTGAGAGTTCAAGTTAAAGCTAGTCACTTTCACTGTAGCCTTTTTGAAATGAGTTAGTCATTACACTTACTGTCCAACGTTCCTCCACAGAATCGCCATGTTTCTAAATTCATAAGTTTAAATTTCAATTACTCATATCTTTCGTTGAGTGACCAACATTCGTTCCTGAAGTCACGGAGCCCCGCGTAGGTGTCACTCGTGCTGGCAATAATATTCCTGTCCTGTCCGTAGAAAAGCAAGGGAAGGGCAAATCTCCAATTTAAAGCACGAAGAAACCCAGTAGAGCATTACGGAATTTTCTTCGAACGCATAATTGTTTCTTAAACATTGATACATATTGTGTTTCTGCCGCCAGTACAACACGACTTTGACTGCAATATTAAGGCGATCGAGTGTCAGTGTCGTCCACAGTGTGCTAAGCAAGGCAAAAAACGACCCAATTGTACTGTACACTGTTTGTTGTACGACACTTACACTTCGTGATTAATAA